TGTGTGTGTGTGTGTGTGTGTGTGTGTGTGTGTGTGTGTGTGTGTGTGTGTGCGCGTGTGTGCGTGTGTGTGTGTGTGCGTGTGTGCGTGTGCGTGTGTGTGTCTGTGTGTGTCTGTGTGTGTGTGTGTGTGTACTGGTCTTCCTTGGCGCTGCAACACACAAGATTCCAACCACCTTCTTCGACTCACCATCACCCATCACGCCCCCCCACACCCCCTACCAGCTGACTGCGGAGAACGGGATGCTGATGACGCCGTGCTACACCGCCAACTTCGTCGCGCCGGAGGTCCTCAAGAAGCAGGGCTACGACAAGGCGTGCGACATGTGGAGTGTGGGTGTGCTGCTGTACATCACGCTCGCCGGCTTCCCGCCGTTTGCATCGGCGCCCACAGACACATCCGAGGACATTTTGAAGCGCATCACCGTTGGTGCCGCCCCATTTGGCCATCCCGTCTGGCACGCCGTCTCAGACTCGGCAAAGGAGTGAGTTGGTTTGCGCGCGCGCGCGCGTGTGTGTGTGTGTGAGTGTGTGTGTGTGTTTGTGTGTGTGTTTGCGTGCGTGTGTGTGTGTGAGTGTGTGTGTTTGCGTGCGTGTGTGTGTTTCTGTTCTCGTGTACATGTGTATCCGTTGGCTTGGTCCAACCCGTCCCCTGTCCTGCCCCCTCCACACGCATTCCCATCCTCACTCGTCCCCCGTACGCCCCCTCCTTCCCACCACCACCACCACCGCCATCAGGCTGATCCAGGGCATGCTGCACACGGACCCGGAGCGCCGCATCACGGCACACCAGGCCCTCCTCCACCCATGGCTCAGTGAGTCGCCACACCTGCCGTGCTGTGCAGCTGTTGTGTAGAGGGGGACTTGACTGGACTTTGCCTGCAGCGCGTGCAGGTCCTGTCCGGGTTTGTAACACCCGTTGCTACCGCCACGTGCCCGATCATTCACCCCTCATTATCACCCACCTCACCATCACCACCATCACCATCACCACCAGGAGAGCGCCCGTCGACGGCGCCGGCCGGGCAGATGGACGAGAAGCTGTCGCCAACACACGTTGCGCAGATGAAGGCGACAGTTGAGGCCATGTTCACCGCCAAGGACACGCCATCCCCCGTCTCCCTCGCCCCAATCTCCGAGTCAACGCTCGCAAAGCGCCGCAAGCACCTCCCCGCACTGCCAAAGTACGTGTGTGTGTGTGTGTGTGTGTGTGTGTGTGTGTGTGTCTGTGTGTGTGTGTCTGTGTGATATGTGCTTGCACCCACGACGTGCTTCCGCACATCTGCGTCTCGTAACTTACGCACACACACGCACACATGCACCTACTTTGTTCACACGTTCCAGGTTGGATGAAATGGAATAGAAGCAACCGAGATACAAGTACACGTATCAACATCACGCCAGGGCGCAATCGCTACCGCTGCTGTTGCGTGTGCAGCAGCTTGCCCTCTTGCTCGCTTTGATTTTTCGTCTCCGTTTCGTCCTTGTGCAGACCAGTTCCCTTGTTTTGTGTATGTGTGCCATCCCCTCTTCCACCCACCCCTTTGCTGACTTGCACGCGTGTGCTGTGAACTCTTCCCCTCGTCCTTCACTCCTCCTCTCCCCCTCCTCTCCCCTCGTTCCTGTCTTGCACATTGTTTGTTCTGTTGCCCCTGCCCTGACACCTCCCTCCCCTCAATTCCCCTCCACCTTCCGTTCGATCTTCCTTCGTTCGTGCGAGCGTGCGTGTGTGTGTGGGTGTGTGGGTGTGCTTGGGACTCTTCCCTGCCTTTTGCATTGTCATTGCCGTTCTTGCTGCTTCGCATTTGCCACGTTATCGAATCTCTCCGCTCTTGCAGACGCACGTAAACACGCACACGCACACCACGCACGTGTCGACAGTAGTGCCGCTGTGCCTCATGTGCACACGTGTGATGAGGGTGAGGCAACGCGAGCATATTATGACCATCACACACACCACTCACAACTGCATCAGGTCTGGGCGTCCTCCTCAAATGCCTTGTAGAAGATGATTGCGTCAGACATGCCCACGCCCTTCATGTTTCCAGCGTTGGGCAGCAGCCCAATTTGCTGGAAGCCAAGTCGCTGCCACAGCCGCACAGAGGGCACGTTGCACGTGAATACCTGCAGTTGGAGGCGGCGGTGATGTATGTATGATGAGCGTTGTTGTGAAAGCGAACGAAAAACGAACAGTACACGAAAGCACACACACACACACACACACACACACACACACACACACACACACACACACACACACACACACACACACACACACACACACACACACACATACCAGGTTGAACATGGCGGCCTTGAATCCGAGGAGCGGCGCGAGCGTCGAGAAAGCAGTTGACCATAAACGTCGCAATACCCTGTCGTAGTATGATGAACAAAGGGACAATCACTTGCACATCAGCATGGAGCTGAGTTGACTGAAGGTCTGATGATCTGTTCTCAGGTGCAGCTGCGATACACACACACACACACACACACACACA